TCTCTCTCTCTCTCTCTCTCTCTCTCTCTTTGATATTATTATAGAGACGGAACCTCCAGATAGAACTCTCTGAAAAGACCATTCCAAATTATGAGTGAAGACGTTTAGAACATTAACAAAGCAAGATAGACAGATCAAAACGGCAGTGACAAGGAAAACAACTAAGACTTTTCAGTGCTGCCCTTCAACCACCGTTGCCCCCTCTCAATTATCTTTAAATGTATTATTGTTCATCTTTATAATAGTATTTTTCTATGCTTTATGTCCTTTAAATTTAGTAAAAGTATTAGGACCCTTTCAATACGAAAAGGTCATATATAAGTGCCGAAGATTGAACATGTTACAATAGAGCAACATACTCAAAAAAGAAAGAGGGAAGATAAGGACGATGGATAGAACAGAAGGAGCAAACCACACAAGAGCACTCGTCGACCACCCACTTTTTTTCTTCTTACCTTAAGGACCCCATTTTAATTATTTAGAAAGAGGACTGATTCGTTCCTGCCTGTGAGGGACAACCCATGCTGAGAAGAAGACAAAGTTCCGGCAATCAGCGGGGCGGGGGATACATTTACTCGTATATACTCGAAAAAGGAAAGATATTTTAAAAAACTCACAATACAGGAATCGAACTCATGTTTTCTACATGCAACGTGGAAAGGTCGAAAAAAAAAATACACTTCAAACGCCAGCATACACCTAGTAGTGCCTTGAACGTCACCAAAACCAAGATAATCCGAATAAACTCAATTGTTATCCTTATTGCAGGTTTGTTATTCGGCCTCTAAGGACACGTCAGTCAGAACTGCTGAACAGACTGAAAACTCCTGTTGCCCCAGCAACGTCCAAGAAACAAGTTCTGGTTGTTCAGGATATACATCCGATCAAACATCTTGAGGTGTGTGTGTGTGTGTGTGTGTGTGTGTGTGTGTGTGTGTGTGTGTGTGTGTGTGAGAGAGAGAGAGAGAGAGAGAGAGGAGGGGAGGGGGGCGGTGTCAGTCTTTGTAAAGGGTGTGTTTGTGTGTATATATGGCCATGGGTATATGTATGTATGTGTATTTTTGTGTATGTGTGTGTATTTGTGTGAGTTTATAAGTGCGTATTTGAATGTATGCATGAGTGCATTTGTGTTTGTGTGAAACTTTAACTGCGTAAGTATGTATGTATGTATGTATGTATGTATGTATGTATGTATGTGTGTGTGTGTGTGTGTGTGTGTGTGTGTGTGTGTATGTATGTATGTATGTATGTATGCACGTATGTATGTATGCATGAATGCATGTATGCATGCATGCATGCATGTATGTATGTATGTATGTATGTATG